CAATATAAGATCCCTAGTGCTAATTGTATAGGCATAATTACATTTGTTAAATGTTAACAAAATAATAATAAACAGTAATAAAAACATCCATCGTGTGAGAAGGGATAGCTCAGAGCTTTAAGCATCAGATTTGAGATGTCTCCATTTCCTGGAACCACAAGTCTGAATCACTGCAGAACTGATTCACCCCTTCATCCTCCCAAATTAGATACATAATTACATGGAACTCAGTGTGTGGCGCAGGGCCAGCTCCAGGGTTTTGGCCGCCGCAAGCAGCCAAAAAAACCCCCCAAAAAAACCCGCGATCGCAATCGTGATCTGCGGCAGCAATTCGGCAGGAGGTCCTTCGCTCTGAGCGGGAGTGAGGGACCGTCTGCCGAATTGCCGCTGAATACCTGGACGTGCCGCTCCTCTCTGGAGCGGCCGCCCCAAACACCTTCTTGCCAGGCTGGTGCCTGGAGCCGGCCCTGGTGTGGCGGCTCTGTCAGACAGGACCTTATAATATTAATATATTTCCTGCTTTTTGTGGCATTTTTCATAAGAACATGGGTTTATTTCCTTGCCCTCAACCAAAGTCCCGCACCACCTACTATTGTGTAGTGTGTCTGGACCAGCTGTCCACCTGCTTGTTGTACTCAACTCTGGCAGAGGTGGCTTCATTCAACAATGAAGTGATTACTACATGTCTGTAGTTGTAAGCCACTTTTGGGTCATACAGGAGGATGAGCACCATAGCATGTTATATTGTCATCCGTTATTCTTTTCATAAATCTAGTCCACAGTGTCTCATCTGACATGCACAACTCTCTTGAGGAACATGCAAAAAAGTGCACATAGATTTCTTAACACACACATTATTTAGGCTACCTGCTGACAATACCCCTGCCCTCTGCGACTACATACTTACTGCAGATGGCGCACAGGTAAGTTGGAAAGAAGAACTCTGTGAACCACACGTGGCGTTTCAACTTTGGTAACATCAATGAAATAGACATGACCCACTTTGGTCCCCACAGCAACACTATATGAGGAGGGGCAGCAGACCATAGCAGTTGCCTAGTTAAACAGTAAAATACACTTAATTTTGTCGCAACATCTTACTATGCAACTTGCTCTATTATGCAAAGTTCCCTCACATCTGAAAAATAGCAATAAGTGATCGATGTAAAGAAAATGTTGACATAATCAGGGTCACAAAAAAAGGTCCATAAAAACATTATGCCCCTTTTCCCCCAAGAATGCACTACTAGATCCGTAAAGACCATCCCCATTCCCATCCCAAGGTTTATACACTCCTATCCTCAAGGCCCTGCATCATATCCGCAATCAGTCACTGTTCTTCTAAATGGATCAGAGAGGTTGGCTAATGAGTAGAGCTGGTCAGAAATTTTTTTTTACCATCCCATGAAAAATTTTGAAATTTCAAAATAAAAAATTCATGTGAAATCAGAACCGCAGGGGCATAACATGCAGCTTGCCCAGCACTTCCAGTCCAGGAAAGCAAGTGACTGGGACTCAAACCTGAGCGCCCTGAATAGAGGTCCAACACATTAGTACTAGGCCGATGCAAGAATATGCAACAATTTCATTGGTATTTGAAGATCCTTTTAATGCAAAAAGCAAAAACACAGTTGTAAAACAGGAAACATTTTAAAATCAAAATTGTAGCTCAGTATGTGGTCTTTGGTGCCCCATTAGTAGTGACCAGATAGAGTAAGTAGGGACCCACAATGAAGGCAAAGAATGTAATATTCTGCCCAGTGAGTAGATTAATTTGTTTATTTTTGTAGTGGGTTAAGTAACACTTTCCTTGGAGCAGTTCCTGTAAATGGGTAAACAAACAGTTCGTGCAAGGAGTTTCCGAGTACAATCAAACCATCAGACCCTTTGCAAAAGTCAAGGACTGTTTGGGCAAAGATGCTACAGGCTTAGTTTAAATTAAATATCAGGAGAGAACTACACAAGTAAAAATAATAAACATAGTTATCAAAAAGAAAAGTTGGACTGGTTGATTACACTATCACAGTATTATGTTGTATGATAAACTTTATACATGAACTTATATGATTTGCAACCTATCTGACTCTTCTGATATTTTTAACCCGAGACCCATACAAAATTATGGTGCTATATATCAGTCTTTAAAAAGAGCAATGTAAAATGGAATTATTCAAAAACAAATTCAGAACAAATGTAACATACACAGTTGTGTTTAAAGGAAAGGAAGTGTTTTCCAATGTCTAGAACATGGGACTTCTAGGTTCTATTCCTGGTGTCTAGCACAGTAATGAATTTAAGCTCCCAGGCCCAGCTTTTGAAAGTATTATGCAGGTTTCCTTTGAGGATGAGGACTCAGAAGACAGATATAGAGTGATCGCTTTGTGAAAAGTGGTTACCCACAGGTGATGTGGTGTTCTTGTCTTTTATCATTTCCTGTGTGAGTTCATTTGAGAGCATAGAGATTATCTGGTTTCACCCAGATAATTGTTATCGGGCCATTTAGTGCACTGGATGAGGTATATCATGTGTTGTGATAGGCATGTGTAGGGTCCATGGATCTTGTCAGTAAGGGATGTTTTGGGCATGTTTCTAATACACCACTGGCTTGAGATTTTGGCATCTCTACAAGAACATTAATTAATTAATGCTATGGAGGATCCTGGGAGATAGCACAGAGCTGAATTGGGTGAAGTGACTGAAAGGTATTGAGGTACCACCACAACCAATGTTTTAGAAATTATTTTCTTTAAACCATATATAAAATGTAGCCATCTTTGTAGTTGTGGGACCTGGGTATGAGATCCCCGTATCCGGGAGATCTTTATGATCCAGTGGGCTTTTCAGAAACAAGTTTTCACCACTATTACAATGGTAAATCTAAGGCATATTTTGGTATATTTTGCAAAAACCTATTCTCATTTTTTTTATTTGATGACTAAAAAAAAAGTTTAAACCTAAATTTCCAATAATCTGTACCTGTGTATTCAGGCAGAGCTTGCTTATGAAAGTTCCGTCCTCCAGCAGCCAAACATGCACTTCCCCTGAAATTGCTACAGACTGTGGAAGAAGAAGAGACTGATTAGAGCGGAAAAAATGGGCAGAAAGTGGGCAGTAGCTTTCTATGGAAAATTAACCAGGCCGATGACTGGGCATAGCAGGTAAAAAGATGATGGTTTAGTTCTGAACGATCACAACAGTGTCACACACAGTGCTATTAGTCATGTTCCTTTAGGGGTGCAGCTATACTGGGACAATTTGTAAGCATTTTTGCACCAGTGCAGCTCCACTGATGGTGCTCTGAGCAGGATTAGATGATACACTGGTAACATATGTGCCTGATCTACACTAGCACTTCCACCTCCACCATTCAGCCAGCAGTGTAGAAAAATGCTCACAATTTTCCCCGGTAAACGTGCCTGAAAAAGAGGCCTTGGTCTTTGGAAAAGAAGAGATTTATCTCATAAAAGTGCTCAGCACCTTGAATCTAATGATTTAAATCTTCAGAGTACTGTACAAATATGAATTAACTAACTCTCATAATTCCCCTATGAAGCAGGTAAGGATTATCATCTCTCTGCTAAAAATGAGGAGACGTACACAACTGATTCATCAGCACCTCAAGGCTCCTTTATTCTGGCTCTCTGGGGACTTCCCTGGCAGGTAAAGGATCAGTGTAGCTGGCTGTACACTATCTCCTGGAAAAGTCCCTGGCACATGGGGAATGTCAGGGTGTTTTCATGATGAGCGAGGCATGGTCACGGCACTGCTATGCCCTAGCTGTGGAAAAGGCCCAGGGGGGCTGTGGATAGCTGGGCACCAGATAGACACTCTCTCAGGCTGCTCTAACTTGCACTGAGGGCTGAAGAGGCCAGTGGGAGTCCCAGCACTGGTGTGGTGGCTAGGAGGCTAGAAAGCCACCTCCTTCAACTTCCATTCTCTGTATTGAGCCCATCTCCAGCAGTGTTATGAACTTGGCCCATACAGAGTGACTTTTCCAAGGCCACATAGTGAATCAATAGGAGAGTCCATATTAGAATTGAGCAATCTGTGGCTTAACCATGTTTCTTCAAAGAACGCAAGGCAAGAGTCTGTTCTCAGTTACACTAACCTAGACCTGGAATAAAGCCATTCACTTTAATGGAGTTACTCTGAATCTACACTAATGCAACTGATATCAGAATACGAGCCCTGGTCTCTGCAGCACATCTGCTTCTATGCTATGTAGGTTGCCATAGCAATATTTTGGTTACCTGTTATTCCTAGTTGAGGATAACCATTATTATGCATAACAAAGGAGAGAGTTCCTTACCACACAATACTTGTTCCCTGGAGTAAGAAAATCAGCTGACAGGAAATGATCATTGCATGCATCCAAGAGTTTGATGACTTCCTCATTCTGAGAAGGTTTATAGACATAGACTGATCCCTGACAAATACAAATGATAATTCATCATTTGGCTATAAAGCATTCAGTAAAAGTCCTCAACCACACCAACAAAACCACCCATCTTTCTGAACTTTGCTCTTTAAACTTTTACAGATGCCTCTGAATTGAGGGGAAAGACTCAGCTGATGTAAATCAATGTAGTTCCCCCAAAGTTAGCGGACAATTTCAGAAAATGACTGACATAAAATTAAAGCAAACTCTATTTTTTAATTTATTTCAAGAACCAATAAAATATTTTAAAACAAAATAATATGCCCTCAAAAAGGTTTATATCTGAATAGCTCAAGGCATTTGGGAAACATTTATTAATTAATCCTCATATTACCTCTGTGAGATAGGGGTGCAATATTAATTCATTTTACAGAAGGGGAAACTCAGGCATAGAAAGGATGAGTGAATGACCATGGTCACTGTGCCAGTGCTAAGAACAGAACACAGAAATCCTGACTTCCAATCTCTTGCTCCATCCTCTTACCCAGGATATTATTTTTTCTCTCTCCTGTACTATTATAGTTTTCACATTAAAAATATGAAAACTTTTGTAGAATTAAAAAAAGCCAACTAAAATGATACAAGGACTGGAAAATATGACTTTCGGGGGTGAGGGATAGCTCAGTGGTTTGAGCATTGGCTTACTGAACCCAGGGTTGTAAGTTCAGTCCTTGAGGGGGCCATTTAGGGAATTGGGGTAAAAATCTGTCTGGGGATTGGCCCTGCTTTGAGCAGGGGGTTGGACTAAATGACCTCCTGAGGTCCCTTCCAACCCTGATATTCTATGATAAGAGAAAACTTAAATTTTCCTCTTCCTTTTCTCAGGGAATTGAATTATTCCCTTAGGCCTCAATTCTGCACATGGTTCAAGTGGTCCCATTGGCTTCAATACTTCCATGCTGACCAGTAAGTCACAGAATCATACATTAGAGTCAGGTAAAAATAATACGGTACAATCCACCATCTTCAGAAGTCAATTGGTTTATGCTTCTCATACACACACACGCACACCACACACACTGGGCCAAATTCACCTCTGGTGTAATGCCACTGACTTTAGTGGGGTTACTCTAGGAATGAATTTGGCCCAGTGATACTAAAAGTATCATGCAGTAGCAGATGTAACCTGACATGGGCACCTCATTACATAATACTGTACCTTGTCTGTTTCTACTAGTAATGTGTTGTAGTCAGGGGAGAAAACGAGGCTGGTTATGGGTTCTGATACATCAAAGCAATCATCCATCTGATAGTGTGTGCCTTTGATTTGGTAAAAGTGCACAATACCATCCTAAACAGAAAAATGCAAATCAGATCTAGACCACTTATCCTAACCAGTTACAGCAAAACTGCACTGTGTAAATACCTAAGAAACCCTGTGGAAACAGCCAAGAGGATTCCACTGATTCCTGTCATTGTTGGTCTTATTAACCTTTATCTTGTCCCTGTGTATGGGCCACCTTGACTGAAATACTGCGTGATGCCAGACATGAAGAGAAACTAAAACGTTTCTTAAAAATCTAGACTTAAAAATAATTCAAGTTTAATTGCAATGGCTCAGATTCTGTTATCAGTTATACCACGTATCCCCATTTGATTTCACTACGATCGCACAGGAGTAACACAAGCTGAATTTGGCCTACTGGGTTTTTGTTAAAGAATAACCAAGACATGTATTGTTAAGTTATATCATATATAAAGGTATAAAGGTAGAGTGGACTTCTGGGCAAAACACAACTGGGCAGTTATCTTGGAAATTCTCTTTCTCCTCTTCCATTCTATGTCCATTCTAATTCTCTCCTATCTCTTGACAACCCTTTATGAATTCTCCAATGAAAAATGAATGTTTGCTGCCTATCATTGTTAAACACTTGAAGCTTACTCACTACTTGCTTGTTGGACTATGAAAAAAAGGATTCTTCCCCTCCAGATTTGTTGTCCCAAATCTTAAACAGCAAAGTATGTACAACACTAGAGAGACATTTCCTAGTTCTACAGCTCTTTGCTTCGTCTCACTTCTGCCCCTGCTAGGGGTTCCGTGAGCGCATTTCACTCGAATATGCTTCGATTAGGGTTTTCACACAATAGGCCTGGTTCAAGGAATGAGGGATGCCTTACACTTCCAGCTGCATATAGTCCATCCTTATGATAGGCCATGGCAAGCAGAACAGGTTTTTCTGTTCTCCGTTTGTCTTCTGCAAAAACAAAAACATAAAATAATGTTTTAGAAAATGGCTTAGCTCTTAAATATCTCATTGAACGTACTGCTTGGGAAATATGACAGACTGACAACCTGGGAGGCTGAAAAAACTAGCACAGGTAGTCACAGGGCTAGTTACCTCCACACTCCCCAGCGATGTGCCTCAACCTTGATTTGAGAGGGATTACATTTATGGGTGAGGAAGTAGCTCAGTCTAGCAAGGAGAAGGCCAATTAGTGTCAGCTGTAGTTGTGGCTTTGTGATGTGGACATATGTCCACTACAAACTGAGATCATTAATTTATTTTGCATAGGCCACTAAACAGTCACCAAGACCAAACAGATTTTTTTTAAGTTTCCCAATAGTAATTGAGAAAGAGTGCCTCGTACAAAGTTAGTGCTATATAAACAACAAATCATTTCCAGTGGTTCTAAACAAAATGTAGGGGCCTGAATCTGATCTTACATCAGTGTAATTTAGAATTAACACAAAACAAATAAGTCCAGTTTCATTGTCTCTGTTGAGGCTGTCAAAATGGCTTTCCATTAGTACCAATCGTGTTGATAATTTCTGTGATTTAGATACCTGACCTCATGCCATTAAATTGTCTCTCACAGGCCACTGAACATCAGTATCCTTCTAGCCAATGCTCTACCTAGGATGGAGTTGTACTGACATGTATTATGACTCCCAGCAGCCACTGGTGCGGCTTTGAAAAAACAAAACAAGTGAATACCTTCCTTTTTCAAGCTATCGCCAGAAAGAAGTGGTAAGGAACGAAATTTTGTTCGCCTTCGTTCTGCATAAAGAAAAAGAAACAAATTAAAGTGTGAACTATAGTACATGTACCTTATACATGAATGTTGCATTAAGGGCTAGCTGTAGTCTAGTCTACTCAACACAGAGCTAGGCATCAGGAGACCTGGGTTCTTTTCCTGTCTCTGCCAATTAATTCATCGGTGTGCCTGTGGGCAAGTCACAATGTTTCTGTGGCTCAGTTACCCCATCAGTAAAATGGGAATAACAATCATAGATATATATGATTGGAAGAGACCTCGACAGATCATCTAGTCCAGTCCCTTCAGTGAGGCAGGTCTAAGTATTATCTAGAGCCTAGACCATCCCTGACAGGTATCTGCCTACCATTTTGAGATCTATAGATGGAAATCAGTATATATGCTAATGCGAAGTGTTATTCTTATTTACTTAGGTTCTCTAACTTGATTAATCTATGACAGAGGAACTTCATCTACTCCAAAAATATTCAGGTGAAATGTGGCAGCTGTTAAAGGATTGATTCAACACATGCTTAATGGGTTTTTTTATTCAATGGGACTTCAGCATGTGCTTAAAGTTGAGCATGTAATTAAGTGCTTTGCTAAGGAGAAAAGGTCTTAATCACATACTTTAAGTTAAGCATGTTCTTAGGTACTTTATGAATTGGGGCCTAAGAGCATACAACACCACTGCACAATAGTTTAGAACAGGAAGCAAAGAAGAACACTGTGGCCAACTGAAACACCAAAAGGTGCAACCTACTGAATTGACAAATCCCGAACTTTTCTTGGAGAACTCCAAATACTTACCTGGCTTGACTTGTGACAATAAATAATCAGATCCCAGCCAGGGGATTAACACAACCCTTCTTGTTAAAAAAAAGCCCAAAACAATAACCCTCCATATCTGAATTAATCACCACACTTTAAGTGAGGTACAATACTTTGGGACGCTAGGAATACTCAGTGCAGCATTAGAATATGACCGTGAAGAATCATGTTAGCTAACATAATGCTAAACACAACTCAGCAGTATGTGTAGACAATGACTGACATGTTTTCCATGTCTGTAACTACAGGGTTAACATGAACAGTTGGCATGACATTAAACACAGCTTTCCCTGTCTACACTGACTGCAAAGTAGTGTTAAGTATCATGTTAGTTAGCATGACTTCTCAAGGGCATGTTCTAACACAACCCAATTTTCTAGTGAAGGCACGCCCTAGGTTTTGTGCAACATCGAACATGTTGTTGGTGCTCAATACATTAATAAACAATAATAATATAAGGCTGTATATGTCTGGCCTACTAATGCTTTTACATCAGATCTGCAGGGTTGTTAATGAGATCTGCAATACCAGCATTATTGTTCATTTTTAAGACCAAACAACATTGAAGCATTTGTATATTTTTGCCAGAGGAAAAAGATAATGTGGCCAATGGAAAAGGGAAGAAACCACACACAAAGAGATCCATGGAATTTCTATAAAAACCTTCAGTGCAGCTCTTTGTTACCTTTAGCGTCTTGTGAAGGTTTGTAATAAAGAAGAGAAGCTTTGAGTGTCTCAACATTAATTGCCAAAAAATGTCCCTCTTCACAGCCCATATACAGGTCAGACGTTGCAGTCCAGCAGTGGACGGTAGGGTGGACTGAAGGCTGGATGTCATCTTTAGGCTTCAATATAAAAATCAGCAAGCTTCAGTTAAAAGTAGCAAATGTCTGTATACATAAATATGGAGATTCTGAGATTTTAAGGCCAGAAGGTACCATTAGATCATCTAGTGTGACATCCTGTATAATGCAGGCCAGAGAATTTCACCCACTGACTTCTTCGTTGAGCCCATTAACTTGCATTTGACTAAAGCATATCTTCCAGAAAGGGTCCCGTCTAGATTTTAAGACATCAAGAGAGGGAGAATCCACCACTTCCCTTGGTAGCTTGTTCCAATGGTTAATCACCCTCACTGTTAAAACACTGTCCCTTATTTGAATTTGTCTGGCTTTAATTTCCACTTGTTGGTTCTTGTTATGCCTTTCTCCATTAGAATGAAGAGTCCTTTAGTATCTGGTATCTTCTCCCTGTGAAGGTATTTATACTCTGTACTCAAGTCACCCCTCAGTCTTCTTTTTGATAAACTAACCTAACTTTGCTCTTTAAGTATCTCACTATAAGGCATTTTTGTGGCTCTTTTCTACACCCTCTCCAATTTTTCAACACCCTTTTTAAAATGTGGGCACCAAAACAGAATGCAGTATTCTTGTATTAGCCTCACCAGTGCAGTCTATGGAACTAAAATCACCTTTCTACCCCTGCTCATTACTATCCTGTTTACACATCTAAGGACTGCATAGCCCTTTTAGCCACACCATTGCCCCGGGTGCTCATGTCGAGTTGTTTGTCCACTATGACGCCTACATCCTCTTCAGAGTCACTGCTTTCCAGGATACAGTCCTCCATTCTGTAAGTACAGCCTACATTTTTATACCTATATGTATGTTCTTGCACTTGACAGTATTAATATGTATTTTGTTTTCATGGGCACAGTTCACCAAGCCATCCAGACCGCTCTGTTAGACTGCCCTGTGCTCATCATTATTTACCATTTTGCCAGTCTTTGTGTCATCTGCAAATCAGTTCTGGGCACATCTCTGACAGATTTCCTGTGTGAGCTTGGGCAAGTCACCTAGCTTCTCTGTGCCTAAGCTCCCGAACTATAACATGGGGATAATAGTACTTCCCTACATTAGAAGAGTGTTATAGTATGTGAGTGCCTCAGAATCTTTGTTAGTGGGGCCACACAAGAATGGGTATTGCTAAGTTGAAGTGAATTCAGTGAAAAGCAACAAAGACCATTAGGTGGACTGATTTAAGAGGAAATATTAAAAGAATTAAATATTAATAGCTTGGCTCAGTGGTGATTAAATGAGGGATAATAACTTGAAACCTGCAGTCCAGGTAATGCAATGGAGAATCGGATCCAATAAGTCTACAAGAATTTGAAACGTGTAAGCATGAAGGGAGGGAAAGTATTTAATAGAATAAAATGGATTATAGCTAATTGTAGTGGGACAAATAAAGAAAGCAAATTTAAAGCGAATAGTAGAAGAAGCTTCCTGACAGTGACATATATTATCTGTGAGATAAACCCTCCAAAGAAGTTGCAAAAACCGTATTGCTTGGCACTTGAAAAGCTGATCTTCACAAAAAACTAGCAAATGTAAAATAGAGAAAAATCCTATGTTGGCAGAGAGATGGACAGGATGATCTAAGAGATCTTTTTCATCTCTAGAGTCACTGGAGAGTAGGAAGTGTTAATCCTGGGGTCTTTGCCTAATTCCACACTGGTCAATGATTACCTGCCTAGCTAAATTCAAATGTTGTTTCAACAGTAGAAAGGTATCACTCTTCACTTCTTGTCCAAAACTCTGATGTAGAATTGCTGTGACACCATAATAGCAATCACATCCCACTCCAAAAGTAGCTTCATTTTAGTGGAGGATGAAGGAATGTGCAGTTTGTAATTCTACAAAACACCTAGAGTCTTGCAAAAGGTACAGGAAGAGGAAAGATGGACGCTCTTTTGCTGGCAATACAGGACTGAGAGTCAGAAGTATCTAGGTTTTATTTCTAATATCTGCCAGAGACTCACTATGTGATTTTGGTTAAGTCTCTCTCTCTCTCGCTACTAAAATAGGATATTTATCTACCTCAAAGGTGTGTTGTCAGTCAATCCATTATTCTCTATGAAGCATTTTGAGGAAAGATGTTTCAGAAATACAATGGACTCATTTATTTTATAAATCAAATAAGAATAATAAACTCTAGTAGTATGCTAGTGATTCTATAATGAAATGGTCATCATATCATCCCAATATAGATTTCAGACAGATATTTTTACATATTTTATGTCCACACATCTTTTTTTGCAAGATAGTAGGTGAGTTACTCTAACTCGGAGGCTTCCTATGCAAGTCCAGGTCAGCATCTGTTATAAAGTCAATTTCTAAGCATTGTCATGACTCAACATACATAATAGGCACAGAATTCTAATTCCAGACTGGGACCACCACCATGTATACCCAGGACAAGGAAGTCACAGGAAGCACTCCCATTTGCTGTTTGTGTTCTGAAATTGTACAATCATTCATAAGCTTCCTAAAGCTTTGTTCCTTTAAATAGAACTCTCTAGAGGAAAAGCCCAGAATCCTGGACATGAAATGTTTTGTGGAAAGCTGATGGCATCTAACAGTGCATGGTGACAAAGAGGGGTCATGTTTGGATACAAAGTCTGAGCAACTGCAGAAAACTCAGGGCTTAGCTATAAGAGATACTGAAACAGAAAATATCTCCTTGTGCAAGAAGAGAGAGGGTTAAAAACTTCATGCGGCTGCCCCTTTTTGGCAACACTTGGTTACAACTCCAGCCACAACAACATATTTTGAAGCATAGTTGGAGCAAGTGGTTGTCCATAAATATAAATATTAAGACTGTCCTTTCATCTGATTCAGACCTACTGACAAAGGACATAAATCTTCCTTTCTGTTGAATCCTGTCTGTTGAATGTTTCCTTGAGGGCATGCTCCTGCTCCCTTTGAATTCAACTGAAATACCTCACACAGACTGCGATACAGGCAGAGGTGAAAGTAAGCCGGTCCGGTCCAGTACGGTGTACCAGCAAGAGCCAGTACACTGTGCCGGACTGGGCTGGCTTCACACAGACTTAAATTTGAGGGGGAACATGTCCTTATTGATTGAATGATCATATGAGGTAGCAGAGAGTGTGGAAGTAGAGCAAGAACTGACAGGGATTTGAAGGGGATTTCAATGCAAACAGTCTCTTCTGTGAGCAAGAGTCAGGCTAGATGTAACCCTAATAACGCGAGATTTGTAGAAGCGAGGATTATGTGAGGCGAGTGGGAAAGAACTGTGTGAGAAGTTGTTGCGATCTTGTGTAGATAAATATGGAATGTAGACTAGAGTCTAAATAAGTGAGAAAAATAAGATATTAGGATGACCTATGTATAAACAAAATGCAGCTGTTGCTTATTATTGTATGTAACAAAAGGTAT